TTTCCCTATCAGGCCTGGTCCTAAATGTATGGTAAGGCCAATTCTCCTATATTTTGCTTCCCTTAATGTTATCTGAAAATGGCAATAGCTAAGTATGATTTTATTTTTTAAAAAATGTTAAAATAAGTATTTCATATTTTAAAGCATGAACTCCAAACACTAGATCATTTCATCTCCAATTACTAATATAGATCATCAAATGCTAGAGGTGGTTTATTCTGTGAAAAATACTACCATCTACTCAGAACTGAAAACATAACTCTCATGGGGCTGCTTTCTTCTTGCCCATCATAAGATACTTGATTCTTAATCCAAACAAGACCACCCAAGAGAGGAAATTCAGGAGTAATTTCCATGAAACATCCAAGAATTGGTTCTATTTTTGTGCCATTGATATCACTCCCATGATCAAACAAGAAGCAGATTCCTAGAGAAATCTATGCAGTTTTGATTAGACAGATGCATTGGAAGACACAGTTTGTCCACTTTTAACCATGCTGAGACAAGTGTCCCAAGTGTAGTCAACCACAACCATAGATTTGGGAGATGCTACCATGTCTTTTAAAGATATGTGGTCTTTGGGGTCAGCAGGTGGGGTGGTGGTTAAGGCACTGAACTCCCACATGGCCAAGTACGAATCTAGTCCCAGACCTAGCAGCTTGCTCGCGCTCTCTCTCTCTCTCTCTCTCTCTCTCTCTCTCTCTCTCGTCAGCACACATGCCCTGTAGCAAATTTTTAAAAATAATTAATTGAATAAATAATTCTTCAAAAAACTTATATGGTCCTCAAACAGATGCTGTATTTAATTTTAATAGAATGTTCTTTTTATTATTATATTTTTGGGGGGAGAGATTTTTGCTATAGGGCATATGTGCTCACTGGAGAGACAGAGAGAGAGAGAAACAAAAAGTGAGAAATCACCTCCCAGGGGGAATGGGCACCTGCAATCCCTTCTCCATTCTCTCGGGATTTGGGGCACACACACACACACACACACACACACCCAGCAAAGTTTAAAATTGCTGGGTCTGGGATTTAAACCAGTCAAATATGTGAGAGTCCAGTGACGTAATAATTACACCATTTGCTGGTCCCAAAACATTTTCGTTTTTTGTTTTGAGAGATTTTTTTCACTATAGGGCACATGCACTTGCCAGAGAGACAGAGAGATATGAAGGAACAGAAAGCGAGAACGACCCACTAAGAGAGATGGTCACGCCCCAATCCCTTCTCCTCCATTCCCCTCTTAGGATTTTAGGCACACACATACTTGCCTGGCATGAGTTTTAAGCCACCGAGTCTGGGATTCAAACTGTGGTCAACTACATGGGAGTCCAGCAACATAACCATTATGTTACCTGTTGGTTCCAGAATGTTCTTTTATAACTAACAATAAATAAACGTTTGAGATCAGCAGTTAGCGTAATGGCTATGTCGCTGGGTCCGGTGGCTTAAACTTGCGCTGGGCATGTGTACCTGCGTGCCCAAGATCCTGAGAGGAGAATGGAGAAGGGATTGTAGTGTGGCCATCCCCTCCCACCCCGGGGGGTGATTTCTCGATTTCTGTCTCTGCCTCTCTCTGTCTTTCTGGCAAGCGCACACACTCTGTAGCAAAAACTTCTCCAATAATAATAATAATAATAATAATATTAATAAAATAAATAAACGTTTAATATTTTCAAAACCTGTCTAGGCTAGCCCCAATGGCACAGTTGTAACACAATGCTCCACAGTGCTGAAGCCTTGTGGGAAGGTTCCAGGTTCAAATCCCAAGAACTCCTTATGCATGTCCTTGATCCTAGAGGGCTGGTACTGAGAGGGTGGCTGGGACCTAAGTGACTCCCTCTCCTCCCTCTCCCGTCTCCCTTTCTTCTCTCTTTCCTTCTTCTCACTATTTCCTCCCCACCCCCAGCACACACAGAAGACATAACATTTTTAAAATATGTCTAGTAGAAAGAAGGCAATATCAAAATAACTTTAAACATTATACCATAGATATAGATAGAAGTCAAATTAATTTCTTAAGCTGTTTTCACCAGTTGACATTGGATGAAAATGTAAAACTCCAATTAAATGGGTCCTATTGTTCCAGGTACATTAACATTAACCCAACTCACTGGCACACAGATTTGCCGCATCTAAGAATAGAGTTAAATGAACAAAAACCCAGTCTAGACATCCAGAGAATAGTTACTTCAGACCTGATTAGGTGATTAGGACCCTGTTTTCAGAAGAGTAAACTCTAATAATGTGAGTTTGGGGGAGCTGTAGCAAGGCTGAAAATTCCAATTAAAATTCATTAAGTGTTCTAACTCAGAGCCACTTTTGTGTAAATGTGTCAGAGACTTGGCCTCATGAATTTCAGGTACTTGGCTTATTGGAAAAGGTAAAAATGCCATTTATATAGGCTAAAACTTCACATAATCTGATTTGGGTTATATGCAGTTCCTATCATTACAACAGCACATTCTGCAAAAATACACCAATATTTTGTAGATTAAAAAAAAATAGTTAACTTTTAAATAAAAAATAACTAGTTGCAGGTCAACCCGGGGAAAATCACTGCAAATCTAGAACAGCGATATTCTTTTCCATCAGCAAAATATTATTCTATATTAGGCACACCTCACTCTCTAAACTCATCCACACTGTAAAAAAAGACATTTTTATATACTGAGAAAAGAAAAGGCGCAGATTTAATACAACCACTGCCACCAAAATGCAAACAAATTCAGAATCTACAGTGTCTCCTTGGATTCCAAAACATGCCGCTGCTCCTTACACTGTCTGAAGGACACAGAGCCACATTTTCTGCCAGATTACCGGATATTTATGCCTTAACCAAAAGGACACTGAGAACCACCATAACCAATATTCTAACTGTAGTCCAAAGTCTCACCTCACTCATTTATCTTCCACTGACTTGAAAACCAAGAGAGATAGACCCTCTAGATTGTTATTAGGAGCTGAGTTGGAGATACTCAAATGGTCGCTTTCAGTTTTTGTTTCAGAACTGTGCTTTTAACTTAACACTCACTTACAGTATAGAAAACTTGTTTCCTTCAAGATGCATTGGCTTGAGCCCAGGTCAGCAGATTATAAGGAGGCCTAAAACGCTAAAGCAGCAATCCTCCTACACTCCCGTCTGTCTCCCCCTCTTTTTCCTACTAAAGCCAGGGGTTGACTCGCCTGGCTATCACGCTAGGATGAATCTTCTTGGCTTTTAAAAGGAAATGACCTCTTCCCCTCAAATGAGACAAGCTACTCTTATTCTTAACCAAAATCAAAACTCAGACTCAAGGTAGCAATAAAACCCACAAATGACTTTGTCAAGACTTAATGGTCTCCCCTTAAAGAATTCCCCTTGATTCCCTGAGGATTTTTAAAAGATGACAACTAAAGAAAAGACCTATGTGTTTCAAGGGCAATTCTACATAGCTTGAAATGAGGTAAACTATTTTTGAAGACTACTTGACAGTACTTCGCTTTAAAAAATGTAGCAGTAGTTAACTTTTTCTTAAAATAGATAATGCGTGCCCACAATGTGTGAGTGCGTGCGTGCGTGTGTGTGTGTGCGTGTGTGTGTAATGCAGACCCAAAAGATAAATGAAAGTCTCTCTCCGTCTCACGGGTTCCTCCCTTTCCCTGGGTCAACTATTGTTTCTGGAGCAGCCTTCCCCAGACACTCCATGCACATGCAAACACACAGCAGTGCTTTCGCCGTTTATCCGATATGAAGCACACAGCGCCAACGCCAAAATTATACTATTAAACGCCTCTGGGCTTAAAGGTGGCAATCGGCCAGGGAGCGAGGGTAAGGAGGGGGAGCCCTATCGCGAATCTGCGGCTTTGCTCATCAGGACCCGGTTTCTTCGCGTGTGTTTTACCTGCATGCCTTTAGAAGGCTCCCGCAGGCCGGGAGAAGGCAAAACCCCCCGCTCGCCCCTCCCGCCCCCGCAGGGCCACGGCCCGCGCGCTGCTCTGCACTTTTCTGTCCCAATCTTCTAAGTGCATTACGGGTTAAATGAAGTATCTCGGCGCACTTAAAAACAAACAAACAACAACTCTGAAGGTAACTTTCAGACCCAGGTGATTTTCTGTCGTGTCCTTCGGAAGGGCGCGGCCTGGCACGGAGTTGGAGGGGCGAGGCGAGAGAAGCCCCCGGGCAGGAGGAAGAGGAGAGGGCGTCCTGAGCCCTGGGCCGCGCTGTTCCTTTTCTAGACGAATGTGAAGACGCAGAAGCCCCAAGTCCTCGGGACGCCCCTGCTTCCTTGGGATGCTCGGGCGCTCGGGCAGGTCACCAGTTCAGGGTCTGCCCGGGGCGCTCTCGCGTGGGGCCCCGACGACCCGCGGGCATCGGGCTCCCCTCTGGTCTTCGCCGCACGCCGGACCCCAGGAGGGCAGGGCTCCAGGCAGCGCCCCTGCGTCCCCAGGGCTCCCAGGACCCTCGGCCCCCGGCCTCCCGCCCACCCGGGACCCCGCGCGCCCGGGGGGGGGAGCCACAGGTAGGGGGGCGGCGCGGCGCTCACCTGCGCAGGAGGGGTGCTCTCGGCGCCCGCGAGAGAGGAGGCGGCGGAGGAGGCCATGTTGTGGGGCTGCTGGGGTTCCCGCGGCTCCTTCCAACAACTCCGCTCTCCCCTCCCCGTCCCGCTCCTCCCG